AAATATACTTTCTTTAATAGCATTATAGAACCAAACATTAGTCATATCATTTGAAATGTAGCTCTGAGTCCCAGATTTAAATTCTTTTCCCCATTGTATCATCCAATTTAATCCACTTGAATTACTGAAATCAAGTTTGCACTAAATATAGAGTTTCAATTATAAATCAAATAACTTCTCCCCAAAGCAGTTTCATTCCTCAATACTGTATTCCTAAAAACATATGCCATACTTTATCTCAGAAACATGGTATTGTTTCATTCAGTGTTTAAATATATAACACAGAATTTATGTTCTTCTTGTTTGAGAATTTTCATTACTAGCTGGTTTCTTTTAAAATGTCAAGAAGCCCCAATCCTGCAGATGTTACACAGATGCCTATTTCAAATAGTACATACTAGCTTACAATAAGTAAAAGGCATTGTCATGCAATACAAAGAGTTATGACTGTACAAATATATAGTGGTATGAACCATTCAGATAAAGTTTTCCAAGAGACTCAGGCTTCCTTTTTATGTGCATATTATTTCATGCCTCAAAACCAGTTTCACTCACATTTGAATATTTTTGCATGTAATTGTCGACTTTTTTTCTTTCCCTGAAGAGTAAGTGGCCAGGGAGCAATTCACAGCCCTGTGAGGTGAATATTATCTATATTTTATTCGAGGGCGCTTTAGTGGGGGCGTCTGTAGGGATTTGCACTGTGAATTACAAGTGGCTCTGTGGAAAAACGATGGACAATATCCTCCTGTGTGATTTAGAGCCTCTTGAAAATACACTTGGAGGGTCAGCAGTAAGTCAATTCCTACACAAGAACAAGGCATTTCATTTCAGTTTGATTTTATACTTACAGACATTAAAGCTAAGAGAAAATTCATCATCTACCTACCTATGCACTACTGTGTACTAAAACTGCGTTAAGCGGTGAGATTATTCTATGTATTAGGTGCATTCCCTACTCTACTGAAGTTTACACTCTGGTGGAACCAAAATGAACCCCATGGTTTTTGTGTGTTGTTGAATCAATCCCAATGTAAAGCAACCCAGTAAGACAGAGAAGATCTGCCTCGTGGTGTTTCCGAGGCTGCAGCATTACGGAAGTGGACTGTCATGTCTTTCTCCCGTAAAGGTGCTGGCCGCTTTGGAATACTGTCCTTTTGTTAGCACCAGTGTGTTTATCAATTTGTATCATTTGGCCACCTGAAAAGAGAGACCAATGAACAGAATTAAATTGTACATAAATTGTTGAGACCAAAGACCCACTGGAGGGCCAACTATGAGTTAGTTTCAATTCAACAGAACATAACAACAACATATATTTATATATGTTTGTTGCTAGTTACTACCAAGTGCATTGTAACTCCTGGAAATACCAACTGGCAGCCACAGCATTTGTAGCTGAGTCTGAATAATACAGGCTGTTGTTAAGTCCTCTTCTAATCCTGATGTCACACTCTTCTGCATACAGACCAGTTCCTTAAATAGTTTGCTCAGCTTACCAACAATTGGTACTACCAAGGAATTCATATGATGTTGTTGTTGTTATGTGGCATCAAGTTGACTAAGACTCAAAGTGACACTATAAGGAATAGCTTTGAACCCTGCCCTATTCTGAGTCAATGTCATTGTCCCAGTACTACAGTCAATATGTCAACCCATCTGATCCAGGGTCTTCCTCTCCTGCATTGACCCTCTACCCTTCCAAGCATGATGTTCGTACACAAGGAATAGTCCCTCATGACAATATGCCCAAAGTACATGAGACAGAGATTCAAAATCCTTTCTTTCAAGGAACAACCTGGTTTCATCCTCTCCAGGACAATCCTGTCTGTTCCCTTGGCAGTCCACCGTATGGTTGATACTCTTTCAGCAACTCAATTCAAAGGCATCGGTTCTTCTTCTGTCATGCTTACTCATTGTCCAACTCTCTGATGCATAGCAAGTAATTGCGAAGACCATGGCCTGGATCAGGTACACCTTAGTCTCCAGTCTGAGCTCTTCAGAACTCTGAAGAGGTCCCTGACAAAGCTTTCCCAATGCAACTCATCTTTTGATTTCCTGACTGCTGGTGCCAAGAGTGTTTATTGTGGATCCACGCAAGATTAAATTGTTAACAATCTCAATCTTGTCTCCATCATGATCCTGCCAATTGACCTGGTGGTGAGAATCTTGGTTTTCTTTACGTTGAGATGTAATCCATATAAAAGACTATAGTTCTTGTCCTTCTGCAACAAGCACTTCAGGTACTCCTCAGTTGTGTCAAGTAAGGTTGTATCATCTGCATAATGTATGTTGTTCATGAGTGTTCCACCAATCCTAATGCCAAATTCCTCCTCATAAAATCCAGTCTCCCGAATGATCTGTCATGCATCTAGATTGAAAAGGTATGGAGAAAGGACATATCCCTGATGCACTTCTTTCTTGATTTTGAACTATGCAGTGTTTTCTTGCTTTGCTTGGAAGACTGCTTCCTAGTCCTAGTATAGGCTTCTCATGAGCAAAATCAAGTATTCTGGGATTCCCATTCTTTTCAAGATTAACCACAATTTGTTGTGATCCACACAGTCAAATACCTTTGCATAGTCAATAAGACACAAATAGACATTCTTCTGGTACTCTTTGCTTCCAGGAAAGATCATATTTCTAGTAGTTTTCTGTCAGTGTAGTGTTTCAGTTGTTTCTGGAGAATCTTCAGCATGATGTAGATTACATAGACATTAGTGATATTGTTCAATAATTTCCACATTCTGTTGAAAAGATAGATAGATAGTATATATACTGAGATATATGTTGTTGTTGTTGTGTGCCAACGAGTTGTTTGCAACTCATAGTGACCCTATGTACAACAGCCCTAAACCCTGCTCTATCCTGTGCCAATTGCACTGCCTCTGACACACCCATCCTGATTACCCCAGTCACTGAATCAATCCAACTCATACAGGGTCTTCCCCTCCTATGCTGTCCCTCCACCCTCACAAGCATGATGTCTCTCTCCAAGGACCTGTCCCTCCTTACAACATGTCCAAAGTATGTCAGATGAAGCCCCAGAATCCTTGCCTCCAAGGAGCAGCCTGGTTTAACCCTCTCCAGGATGAATCTGTTTGTTTTCTTGGCAGTCCGGGGTACATTCAATACTTTTCTCCAGCACCACAGCTCAAAGGCATCAATTCTCCTTCTATCCTCCCTAGTCATTGTCCAATTCTCTGATGCATAACAAGTGATTGCAAAGACCATGGCCTGTATCAGATACACCTTAGTCTCCATATGTGTGTGTGTGTCTGTTGTTGTTGATTGCCTTCAAGTCGAGCATGACTCATAGCGACCCTACAAACAAAAGGCCTGAAGCTCCTCTACAACCATTGACATTTATCAAAGTTCATAGAGTTTCTGGAGACATATATGTTTTCTTTCTACCTTTCTTTTAGCTTCTTGAAGACTAGCTGTTAGGAATTCTTCTCCACTATGTGCTACCTTGTCAACTGACTAGAATTGATCCATATTTGTTCCCTTTTGACAAAAAAGAAAAAAGGTAATACAATAGAATGTAGGAATTATCTAACAATATCACAAGTATAGCATGTATGCAAAAACTTGCTGAAGATTATTTTTAAATCGCCAGAACAGTACATTGAAAAATAATTGCCAGAAGGTTAAGCTCAGTTTAGAAGAGGCCATGGCACCAGGGATATTATTGCTGATATCAGAAGGATCATGGTGAAAAGGCAAGAATACCAGAAAGATATTTACTTGTGTTTTGTTGCTTGTGCAAAGGAATTTGACTGTGTAGATCATACAAATTATGTCTAATATTGAAAATAACTGGAATCCTAAACACTTAATTCTGCTCATATGCATCCTATAACTGAACGAAGAAGCAGTTTGTGTGAACAGAACAAGAGAACACTACATGATTTACAATCAGAAAAGATATGCATCAGGATGATAGCCTTTCTACATGCCTAATCATTTAAGAAGCAACAATGTACATTATGCAGATGATACAATCTTGCTTGCAGAAAGTAGAGATGACCATAGATATACTAGAGAATGTCCACTTGCCTACAAGCATTTGCTAATATTGTGACCTACATTTTGGCTGCACTCTACTTCTGATAACCAAGATGAATTTAACAGTGTGACCCTGCCAGTCCTTTACACGCATCCCCCCCCCCACTCAATTCTCACCCTAACTGTACAGACAGTACACATGCCACGTAGCACTTAATACACTGTTGTTCACACAGTTAGAGAGTCAAGTCAACAGGATACCCATCCAAAATGAGGACGCAAAAAGGAGTCTTCAAAAGAAAAAATGATCAGATGATTTAATTCATTTTCTTAAATGGTCAGTCTTTTGAAGGCAAGGACTATATGGACACTTTCATATGTGACTGAAGCAAGTGTTATGTTAATAATAAATTGTGGGAACCAATCACCTATCTTTAGTAACTGCCAAGCGTTCTGTGAGCTTTAGTGACGTGGTTCATAGGGAGCTGAGCTGCTAATCCAGAGGTTACTCCTTTCTGGTGGTTCGAAACCAGTGGCAGTTCCACAGGAGAAAGATGCGCACTCTCCTCTTGTGCGAGCTGTCGCCTCAGAAACGCAATGGAAGGTTTCAAATCAGCAGCAATGAGTGCAGTTGACTTGACTCTCTCTGTGGTTCTATTGAATTGCCTAATGGGCTGTTTGAGAGTAAACCATGATCTGTCATATAATTTATTTGTAAGTATATGTTTGTAGGATATTCAATGTGAATAGTGCCACAAGGACCAGAATCCTTTGATTTCATTGTGAACCACGTTATTTCAGAACATAACTACATGTTGTTATCCTCCGTGGTTGGCAGGAGGCCGTGCCTCCCTCCACCAGACTCGGAGAGAGGAATGGCCTCCTCACTTTCACTACCATAACGCTGTACTCTCGCTGACTTCTCAATGGACTTGCAGGTTTATTTCACCAGTAGAAACTGGCCGCTGAGAACAGTTTGCCCTCTGTTCCAGGGCAGTGGATTGTGCCTTGCCTTAGTTGTTCCGACAACAGGACCTGTGACTGGAGAGAAATCACTTGGCAACCCCACGGCTGTCAATATGGCATCCTGACGAAGCCTCAGCTTCAGCAGTGCCTGGGAGGAAGGAAGGTGAGTCCTGTAACCAGTGGGAGAAGCCTGAGACGCAGGCCTCCTGCAGCACAAAAGGCCAGTCGTAGCTGCTGGACGAATCCCTGCTCGTGTACTCTACACAGGACAAGTGGAGGAAGGCAACCCGGCTTTTGAATCACATGTGGATGTTACCATAGATGGCCCTTAACAACTCTTGCTCAGAATTAGTCCTTGATTTCTAAATTAAGTCTCTCTGTCAGATGGAGGATATTAAAGTCGTGGTCTGTGCTAACCCAATTCCATGCTGTTTTCTCAGCACAAATATGTGGAGCTTGCCACGCCAGCTGACAGTTGGCAGCTCCGAGCAGCTGGGCGCATGGATTGTAGCTTCAGCAGGATCTGCTGGTAAACCAGGCGCAGGGATCCAAACGTCCCGGCATGCAAGACTCTCTTCATCTAGAGCTGACCACATGCATGGCACTGTTCTCACACTAACTCCCTGCTCTTCTCTCGCACCCCAGGCAGGCCTCGCATGGACCTCACTAGACTGGCTTTCCCCTTAGTGAGGCTACTAAAAGCGGTTTCTTGGAAATGCAGTGTCTCCTTGCTAGGCTTGCTCTGACTAGGTAGAGTCCGGCAGAGCTCTTGGACGTATGCGGTGGGCAGTAGACTGGGATGCTTGGTTAATATGAAGTAAGTAACCCTTACCCAGATTTTCTTTTTATATGAGATGGACGATTACCTGTAATCTGTTGTCAGCTCTCATATATGGTCACGTCTCATTTCAGGATTGTTTGCTTAAAAAAAAAATACTATTGATGCATAAAGAAAGGGCCTGAATGCATGATGTTTTTACTGGTAGCACGGTAGCAAATAGTTTATTGAGCATGGGAGAGGGTGAGACGCACAGCAGGAGGCTGGACACTCCCAGGATGAATTCAAGACAAATTCTTTCATTTACAAGACTGAAGAGATAGTGTGTCTGTGAAGATCAAGCAACAATGGCAGGAAGTAGGTCCAAGTTGCTGTAGAATTTCACAGGTTTTATATGTAACTCTTAACTCATAGCTGACCCTCCCCTGGGTTTCTGGGTGTAAATCACACAGCTGGAAAGTGTCCATCTCTCTTCCAAAGAGTCTGGTGGATTCGAACTTCCGGAGAGAGGGGCCTTTGAGCTAGCAGCACAATTCCTATGCAACTATGCCACCAGAGCATCCTTTCAATTTTTAAGGATTACTTAAATAGTATTTGTTGTGTAAACTAATAAACTAAAATCTTATTAATTTATCACACTTCAGTGAGGTAGAGATTATATACATATTATACTAATAAAAATAATTATCAGAGAGATGGCGAAATTAGACCATAATCGTTAAACATATGAGTGGTAACTGCTTAGGCATTTTTGTCCACCGAATTGGACAGTCCACCTTTGATAGTCTGAAAACACAGGACTAGAAACAAAGAAAATAATTGTTGAAATAGCCGTCAGGACTTTTGAAACCCTTTCAGGATACCTTTCTGACCTCAATTTGGAGGAATTAGGAAAATTCTAAAATGATGTGATATTCTGTTAATCTAAAAGGCAAAAGGTGTTAATTTAAACTCAACGCTAAATATCATGGCTTTGGATATAAAACATTGTTTCTCAGACTTGTTTTCCTCAATGTTAAAATAATAAGAAACATATATAATCCAGCCTTAAACATATGGTGAAGAGCACGAACTTTATTTAAAAACTAATTTGGTGGGGATCTGGAAAGACAGCGATAACAGTGAGCATAGTTCAATGGCAGTTAATTTTATAAAACATGATGAATGGGAATGTATAAAACACAATGTGAATGAAGGATAGTGTGGAACACAATGTATACGAACTTCGTAAGCAAACCCATATAAAATACAAATTTTTTAAAAGCTAGTGATCTTCACTCTTGATTAGTTTTAGGTCAAGTCTAAGTAGTAGCAACTTTACGGATAATGAATAAGAAAGATTTCTAACATCTTTTTGCCTTTTCTGTTAGCAATTGAGATATGATCTTGCTAAGTTTCAAAACAAAGTCGTGGCTTCTCCTGACCATCGTACCTCAGAGCTGACCCTCCGTAAGATTTTCAGAGGCTGTAAATCACATGGGAGATTTTCCATCTTTTTCTCGAGGAGCACGGGGTAGACTTAGACTGTCTACCTTTGTGTTACAGTGTATTTCTGCTTAGCAAGCTGCAATGCTGACCCAAAAGCTATGCGTCTCCTGTAGTTGAAATCCACCAGAAGCTCCATGTAATAAAGATGAGCGCTCTCCTCTTATGTGAAACCTGAGGGAGAGTAGCTCTGAGTCAGACCCAACCCAAAGGCTTCTCTTAGCTCTCTACCTCAGCCCCTCCCCCACCCCTGCACCCCATCCAGAGACATCCGCAAAGTCAAGTCTGCATGCTCAAAACCCCAGATTTTCCAGAACACTAGTAGTTGCCTTACCGAGTCACATTTCTTAACCAAAATGCTAATTTATTATAGGAACAGTGGAGGAGTACTTTCAGCAGAGTGGCCCAACAAGAATTAGAGTGATCACACCACAGCTATATGGAGCCTGGCTGGGGGAAGAGGAAACAGATGCTAGGGAGGGTTCTAGCGGATGCTAGAGGCTGTTCAATGAGAAAATGTCAACATGCAGCATTGAGAGGGCCAATAAAGTATTGCACAATTCACCAATATAGGAACTTATACATACATGCAAACATATTCCTTGTTCTAGTAGTTGTTACATACTATGAATTTATTTTAGCTCCTCGCAATCTCATGTGACAGAGTAGAATGTCCCATAGGTTTTGTTAGGATGTAATCTGTCTAGAAGTGGATCATCAGGGCTTTCTCCATAAAGCCACTGGGGGGTTTTGAACGACTAACCTTTTGTTTAGAGAGCTTTGCTGGCTTAGCAAGGTAAGGAGGTAAGGTAGGTGAGGCATTGCACTGCCAGTGCAGAGGTAGACAGTTCAAGTCCACAAGATTCTCTGTAGGAGACAATGAGCGGTCTCCTCCTGGGTGATTTACTGCTTCTGAAAACCCCCTGGAGGGTCAGTTGTGAGGTCAGTTCTGACTCAACAACACACAACTACAACAACAACAATCGTTTAACAGCTGCATACATACTCACACTGTTAGAGTTCCTTACAAACATACTTCCTACTCAGAAGATTTCTGGAAGTAACTGCTAAGAGTCTGCATACTTGGAAGGGTTTGGAGAAGAGTGAATGATAGCAAGAGTTTTCTGAGCCTATGACACGTGTGACTTCCCTAAGCGGTAAAAGGTGAAGAGATTATTGTTATATTATTTTCCTTCTTACGAGGTATTTTCTTTGATTGACAAGCTGAAAATGTTCTTTTTAAAAGTTGTGTAAGGCAAGATTAGGACAGAGACATTAGGAATGCAAGTGAAGGCAGACCAAAGACAGACACATTCCAAATCATAGGATTTGATAGTGCATGGTCTGGTAAATTCATATATCACACACAGACACTTGTGTAAATTCCATAATTCCAATCACAGAATGACACTCAGTTTTTTAAAAAAACTGGTGGATTTGAATGACCAGAGAGCTCTACCCTTTGGATTAGCAGCTCCCTATAGACAATGCCAGAGCTTTTATTTTCATTACTTGGAACATTAAATCTCCATCCTAGGATTTCCATTCTATTCCAAAATCAAGCAAATGGTAGGTCATGGTCTTGACAGTTATTTCCTGTACATCGGAGAGCTGGACAGTGATTAAGGATGATGAAGAATTGATGCCTTTGAGTTGTGGTGAAGAATTGATGCCTTTGAGTTGTGGTGCTGGAGAAGAGTATTGAACATACCATGGATTGCCAAGAGAACAAACAGGTCTGTTCTGAAGATGGTGAAACCGACTTTCTCTCTGGAGACAAGAATTGTGAAGCTCCATCTCACATATTTCGGGCACTTGGCCAGGAGGGACCTATCCTTGGAAGGGTGGAAGGACAGAACAGGAAAGGAAGACCCCAGATGAGATGGATTGATGCAGTAACTGGGACAATGGGAGTAGGTGTGTCAGAGTCAGTGTCTCTGGCTCAAGACAGAGCAGAAGACGGAGCAGGCTTCAGACCTGTTGTACGTAGGGTCACTATGAATCACAGGTGACTCAAAAGCGAAAAAACAACAATAACATTAGAAAAATAGACAGGAAAATAACATAAGCATCATGCTTTTAAAAATATATTTCATTTTAAATCCTACTAAGCAAAACTCAGCTTTGGGAGAGTGTTAAACTACGTTAATTTTCTCCAAAGAATCAAATTATAAATGCCACAGATTCTGACTGTGCCTGTGAGAGTCACTGGACAGTTAGATCTTCAAGTGGCCTTTTCCTCACTTTAAAATCTTCATGTGGACATGTCTCTGGGTTGAATTTCTTTCTGTTAGTCAGGTCTTCTACGTCATTTCATTACTGTTTGACATTGATGAATACAAAATTATATCTGGAAGTAAAGCCTAGGGAATGAAGAAGAAGAAACACATCAGCTGAGACTTGAAAAGAAGCCAATTTCCTGTCACTTTTTTAGTAGCAACATGCTGCACTCAATGGCATGTGATCAAGACTTTTCAAAACAAACAAACAACAAAACAGTTACCAAGAAGTCTAACACACTTGGATCGCTTGTGTTTAACTGTAAACCTTAGTGGCTTTTTTGGCTGATTTTTAACATCTGAGTTTACACAAACCCCAAGATTTCAAACTTTCAGTTAGCAGCTGAGGTTCTTAGCTATCTGCACCACTGAGAGACTTTGTATTGATTGTACCTTCTCATTTTATACCTTAATTTCAGCTACATGAACAGAAGACTGGCCACTGGAAGAAAAAGGTGAATCAGAGCATTTGTAGTGGCCATTTATATGTTGAATGTCCTTTTATATGACAGATTTATTTATGTGTGGGATCCCTTATGAATTCTAAACCTATCCGAATATGAATTCTTTGGCTTGGAGGCATTTGTGATCAGACATGTATCATCAAGAGCCTTGATTACTTTGCTTGAACTTTTTAGTCAATCAACTGAAAAAAACCGGCTGATCTCACTTATACTTGTCCACATTACTCTAAGTAGATGCTCCCTTCTTACTTAAACTCCCCATGGAGCATTTGCAAGAATTTTTCAAAGCATAGCACGTATCATATAAACACAGTGAAATACACAGGAAACCATTCACAGATATGATCCTCAAATCTGCAATTGAAAAGACTCCAGAATTTGACCCAACTGAGTTAGACAAGTGCATGTTTTGTTTGCCAGTTGAAAACATAGCTCATAATTTAAGCCAGCAATAAAATATCTGTGAGGAGCATGCAATTAAGAACAGGAAATGTAAAAGGGCAGTATTTTCTGAAAGTACTTAAGAGTCAGCTGTTAAAACAGGAAATGTAACTTAAATTTTTAAGTAATGTTTTCAAGTTAAGTAGTGTATGAGACTTCAAGGTGTTCAAATTTTGAAGTCTGGCTAATTTATAATAATATGCTCTGACTAATATGTGAATTCCAGTATGGTTACACAATTAATTGTTGCCTGTCAGTTTCACTACATGTGGGGTGGCGAAAGGAAAGGGGAGTGCCTCACTTTCCCAGGATGCTCCCCTTCACCCCTGAATAAAAAATGAATGGTCCAGACAGACTGGCAATATAGACAAATCATTTCATTCCTGGTGCTGAGAAGATACCTGTCCAGGTGATTTTGTTTAATTACTTTCTCTCTTTTTTTTCTTTGCTAGATTTCATAGGTTTGAGAATACCTTACCTGACTATTAATCTGACATCTGTATTCGGTCCAGAAGAACAATTCGGGTCCTATTTATAGACACTTTCAGTAAAGTACATCAATAGAAGCCATGCCATTAAACTATACAACATTTTACCTAGAAAATGCTTTGTTATAAATTGAAACAAGATTTGTATCCTTCCTTATGTATCTCTATTATTAATGTGTATTGTTGTTCATCTTCTAAATGAAGGTTCAGTGATTTAAACCCATCACTTGCTCTTTTAAAGATAAATAGTCTCCTCTCAGAAAGATTAACAGCCTTGGAAATTGGGTGGAGGGTTATCATGAATTGCAATCAACTCATCAGCAGTGGGCGTGTATTTAAGTGTCTCTAGTCATGTGATCATTTAGCCTGTCCCAACTAACACAAGGTTGTTGTTCTACACCATTGAGTAGAAACTGACTCGTAGCTGACCATCCCCTGGGTTTTTAGAGACAGTAAATTGCATGGGTGGAGATTGCACATCTTTCTCCTAAGGAGCAGCTAGAGGAGTTGAACCATATACCTTTAGGTTAGCAACACAGCTACGTGTGTGTATGTGTGTGTGTGTGTGTGTGTGTGTTGGTTTTTTAAAAAACTTTATTAAATTTAATGGACATTTACAGATATTTTGGATTTTCATTTATTCGTTGTTGCACTTTTTTCTTTAGCCGCCTTCCCCCAGTTCACTCCTGTTTTTGAAAAGCAAAAGATAAACTTCTTCACTGGTATACAGTTCCCCTGACCCGGCCCCTACCCCTCCTGCTCCAAATGCACTCCACAATGCAATCTTAATTCTGGATTCCTGTGAAAATCATAATATGCTATCATATAGCACTTTTAAACTATTCTCTCCCTCATCTATTTTAATTCAGTATACATAATCTATCCAGTTTTTCTCAGTCTTGCCCCAACCCTGATGTCAGTCACTTTCTACAATAGTGAAACCATGCAGTATTTGTCCTTTTGGCAACACAGCTTCTTATACTAGGCCATAAATGTATAAAAAAAAAGTTGAAATTTGTTAAAAAGATAGTGAAATACTTCTATGATGATTTTTACTATCTTCCAAGCTTTAGTACAGTCTAGGAACTTGATGTATTATTCTAAGTCCACAGGTGTATGACAGTATGAAAAAGAGTGGGATATACCTTTGATTCACATTATTTATGGGGCCTCGAGAACAGAACAGATGCAAATCTCTTCCAAATACACCTTGGCCTTTGGCTGATGAGCTGAGACCGAGCTTTTTATGAGGCATCCCACACACACAGACAGTTCTGTTCCTCTCCAGAGCTCTCCCCAGTGAAGCAGGCTCACCTCTCTACATCACACTGTCAAAAATGAGAGGTTGCCTGGGAAAATGGGATTCAATGGGATTCAACCTTTGGGATAGAGTTGCTCCAGGCACCCAAAATAAAATTAACATTATTACTGGATAATATTGAACCAGTGCTTAATCTGGTAATCACTGGCCTACATAAATAGAAACCAATGTGATGTACATATAGTCTGAGAAGCTCTGGTAGTACAATAGTTTAGCATTTGGTTGATAACACAGAGGTTGGCAATCCGAACTCCACAACAGGAAAATGTGACAAACTGTTCTATAAAGACTGTTGTCAGAACTGACTCATAGTTGGAGCGAGACCAAGACCTAAGAGGCAGTAAATGGCAGGGAAGAAGATTGCCTCTCTTTCTCCTGCAGAGCGGCAAGTGAATTCGAACCACATACTTTTGGATTGGCAGTGCAGCTCCTTACTCCTAAGCCATTTGAGCTCCCTGTAAAAATTTCAACCTTGGAAATCCTATGAAACAGTTTTTCTCTGATCTTTCAGTTTCTGTGTATTGAACAGACACAGCAGTGTTTTGTTTTTAAGTAAGAACTTTTGTTATTCAGTTCAATAAAGATTTTTTTTTTTTACTAACTGAAGTCAAGTTATTTATTGAGTGCTGATTACGTACTAGATATTATTCCAATTACTTGGGACACATCAGAGGGCAAACAGATCTCTGCCCTCACGGAGCTTACAGTCTAGCATTTCCCTCTTCACTTGCACACTGACCCGGGCAAGTCTGTGCCTCTCTGTGCCTCAGCTGCCAAATGGGAGGAACATGCAGAGTCAGCACAGACCATGGATGACATCCTTGCTGTTCTGTAGATGCCAAACAAGACCCTTACCCCTTGCCCTAGCCTATCTCTTAGGCAAGAAATAGAGCTGGATGTTGATTTTTAACAAGAGAGCACACTGGGGCTAGGGGGTTGGAGCTGGGTTGTCTGCTGTGCGATGGTGGTGGTAGAAGGGTTGTGGAGGGCTGATGATGGCTACACAAATTGTTGCTGCTGCTGCTGCTATTTCTTGGTGGCTGCCTTGCTGGCGAGGTCCTTGGCCCTCTCTGTAGCTGCCAGTGCTGTCTCTTTTGCCTTTTCCTTGGCTTCCTTGGCAGTTCCAACAAGTGTCTTAGAAGGGGCTTCACCTTGTAGCTTGGCCAAGATGTATTCAAAACCCTTCATAGTCTTGGTCACATTGCTTTTAAATCGAGCCAGACCCAATTCCTGGACCGCTCTGGAGACACCAAACAAGCTAGAGGAGACCCAGACTTCTCAGCGGATTTCGGTCTAACCACTGTTATGAGAGTTCGCACAGTAAACACAGCAGTTCCTCCACCACTGTCAGCCGGGCATGGTTGATGTTCCAGGTGGAGGTGGTCATGGTCTGATTCTGTGGGTCCGCAATAGAGTCCTCCAGGATGTACACCGAGTGAGCAACATTGGCAGGAAACAATCGCTCAGCCCAGAGCAGCATCCTGTTGGTCTTGGTCGGGAGTCTCCGGGACAGGAGTTTCTGGTCAGGGGTAACCTCCCGGTGTACTATGTCTTCCGTCAAGACATGTTTGCTGTAGGGATTCGGGTCCCGCTGCCAGAAGGCGGCGAACACGTGGTCCCAGGAACTCCGGAGCACGCTCTGGCCCAGGAAATACTTCCCCATTGTCCCGGCCAGGAAGGGCTCAACACCCGCGAAGCATTAGGAGTGCGGAGCCCAGGGGGCACCTGGAGGCCGGGCCAGAGCTCGGCACCCGCCCGCCAGGCTCGCTCAATCACCACCGTACTGCGCCCAAGCTTCTGCCGCCAGGAGCAGTTCAATAAAGATTTATGAGCATGCATGCAGGGTGGAATGGAGAAAGACCCATGGTGGCAATACTATAACTGCATAACTTATACAGTGAGAATGTGAAGCAGAGGCGGTGGTGGGACTAGAGAGGAGGTGATGAATGTGAGATTTAGAGTGAAACTGGCGTTGGGCTGTACCTGTATGAGCTGATGCTCAGGTAATCAGGTTCTAGTCATGTGTATCTTTTTTCAAATTGTGATAATATTTCCATTGAGCTGCCTAATCTGGATGGTCCCCAGTTCCCTCAGCTATAATATATAAAGACCGCAGTAGGAAAATGTTAACGTCCTAGTAATATAACAATGCTTCACATCTGTCATTCACTAAAAGGTGTAAGCTGATTGCATGAGAAAGAGAATGATAATCAGCAATTTAAAAAAATTCCATGAAGCAAAAGAACTTTGAACATGAGTCAGTGGGTGAGCCGATAATGTTATTGCTTTGAACAAGGAAGAGAGGAAAATGACTCGGTGTGGAGGAGAGTATAATCAGTGTCATTTCTAGTTTGAAAAGTATTAAAATTAAATAAATAAATTTTAAATAAATTAAATTTTGAAAATTATTAAAACAGTTCTTTCAGATTATCCTGCATACTGTGCAATGAAAGCAAAGTGTGTTTCTTTTCTTTAATTTATAGATTCTTTTCATTGGAGACTCAACCAACAGGGGGATAATGTACTATCTGATTGAAAGACTGAATGAAACACTACAGGAATGGCAAAAGGTGCACGGCACTAAATTCTATCATAACGTCAATGGTGGCAAGACTTTGATCAGTTATTCCTACTATCCACAGTTCTGGATAAGTCCGTCATTGAGACCAACATTTGAAAAAGCACTTGAACATCTCTTACAAAGGTACAAATAGAACTATTATGAATGGCACAATGCCACAATGCACTGATGTTTTACCAGCAGTCCTAATTGTTCACTATATATCCAGTGTGCTGAAAAGCTTAGAAACCAAGTAATGCGGCTGAAAATGAGCTGGAAATGACAAAGAGACCCTATGATCAGGATGCCAGATATGGTTCAATGAAATATGAGGCAATGCATTTAAAATGTTTACCATCTGTGTTAAGACAACATGTGTTGTTTTTCTTTCTGGATTTCAGATCACGTCCCCTAGAGAACACAGGCCAGACTGTATTGGTTGTTGGTGGTGTTCAGTGGCTTAATTCTAACCACCTGCAAATTATTCACAAGGTTTTGAAGAGGTAAGTGTCTGTAGCAGCCTTTGTCTTTAGTTGTCCAGTAGTTTTGTTTCTCTGTCTTGAAAGGCACTCTTGATGTGACTGACTTTATCAAGACTTCATACATAGAATAAGTAGGCATTTGGAAGGAAGTTCTTAAAGTTTAGGAAAAAATAGTAAAAGTATTTTAATATCTAATTATAATATGGTTCATCTCCAAATTGAGTTTACAACAGATCAAACAGTTCTACTGACAAAAAATCAACACCAATCTGCATCAAGTCTTTAAAATGGAAGTTTAGTCCTATATGCCAGCTAACATATATGAAAATAATTCTACCACATTAGTTTGTGTCAATCTAGAAGAGTATAAGTCTATCATTTTATAATTCTTATTGTTTCATCCAGGGAAAACTTACTCAATATCCTGGTGATCATCAAAACACTAGGAATTGGATTTCATCTTCCAGTGGATGGCGTGCATTTTTTAACTCAGGTAACCCCGTTTCCTCTGAGATGTATGAACTATGTGGATCCTATGAGAATCTCTGCTGGTAGCCTAGTGAGTAGGGAGTTGCACTGTTAACTGATCATAGGCAGTTTGGGTCGACTAGCTGCTGCTCAACAGAAAGATGGGATAGCTCCTCTCTTGTGATTTCTCAGAACCACCTAGAAGGTCAGCTATGAATCTGTTCTGATTACAAGGCAATTATTGACTGACTCATTCTACATGTAAAATGAGATAATATACTTAAGGATTATGATTTCACATCAATAATTTCTGAGACCAGGAGACCATTGTTGTTGTTATGTGCCGTCGAGTCGCCTGCGACTAATAGCGAACCTATGTACAACAGCCCTAAACTCCGCTCTGTCCTGTGCCAATCGCACCGTCTCTGACACTCCCATCCCAATTATCCCAGTCACTGAATCAATCCACCTCATAGAGGGCCTTCCTCTCCTGCGCTGTCCCTCCACCCTCCCAAGCATGATGTCCCTCTCCAAGGACCGGTCTCTCCTCACAGCACGTCCAGAGTTAGATGGAGCCTCAGAATCCTTGCCTCCAAGGAGCTACCCGGTTTAACCCTTTCCAGGACAAATCTGTTTGTTTTCCTAGCAGTCCATGGTATTCTCAATACTCTTCTCCAGCACCACAGCTCAAAGGCATCAATTCTCCTTCTATCTTCCTTGGTCATTGTCCAACTCTCTGATGCATAACAAGTGATTGGGAAGACCATAGCCTGTATCAGACGCACCTTAGTCTCCAGAGAGACACCATTGCTCTTCAGTACTTTGGAGAGGTCCCTAACAACAGACTTTCCCATGGCAATGCGCCTTTTAAGGAGACCATAGTCAATCAAAAAATCTATTGTACATATCTTGGATTTACAGAAGAATGGATGATTTACTAAACTATAAGAAAATAAATGAAATGGGTGAAATACAAGAGAAATTGTACATTGAGTATTCTCTTCCCCACCCTTAATATTTTCTACATCCTTAAAGGCTGGAGAGCCTAGTGGTAAGAACCTGCACTGCAATTCCAAAGGCATGGAGGTCAAATCCACCTCAGAAGGATTATAGGCAGTCTCCTGTACAATCTACTACTTCTGAAACCCCACTGGAGAATCAGATATGGGTTGGTTCTAACCCAACAGCACACAACAACAACAACAAAGGCTGGATACAAAATTAAACCCATCATGTGAAGTTAATGGTTTATTCAAATTTTCTTATCTTCCTTAATTATTGTCCAGCTCTAGGATGCATAACAAGTAACTGTGAAGAACATGGCCTTAGTTTACAGACGGACATTGTTGCTCTTTAGTACTTTAGAGAGGTCCCCTGACAGCAGATTTTCCCAGTGTAATTCATCTTTTGTTTTCCTGACTGCTGGTGCCAAGATTGTTGATTGTGAAACCAAGCAAACTGAAGTTATCAACAATCTCAGTCTCTTCTCCATCTATCATGAAGCTGCCAATTGTCCCAGTGGTGAGAATCTTTGTTTTCTTAATGTTGAGCTTCAATCTATATTGAAGACTCCAATCCTTGACCTTCTACAGCGAACACATCATATCCTCCTCAGTTTCAGCAAGCAAAGTTGTGTCATCTGCGTAATGCACATTGTTGATGAGTCTTCCACTCCTGATGCCACATTCCTCTTCATATAGCCTCCTGAATGATCTATTTTGCATATATATATTTAAAAGGTATGGAGATAGGATGCAGCCCTGAGACACACCTTTCCTGATCTAGAACCATGAAGTATTTCCTTGCTCTGTTCTAACTACTGTTTCCTGATCCAAGTATAGGTTTTGCATTAGTACAATTAAGTGTTCTAGGATGTTGTGATCCACATAGACAAATGCCTCTGTATAGTCAATGAAACACAGATAGACATTCCTCTGCTACTCTCTGCTTTCAGCCAAGATGCATCTAATATTTGCTAGTCTCTAGTGCCATGGCCTCCTCTAAACCCAGCCACATGAATGATTGTATAAAATACAATATACAAAAATGAAAAACAATGTCTATAAATGATAGCATACAAACCAGTTAAAAAATAGGAGAACAACTATTGCAAAACTGAAAAAAACAACCTGTTGGGGTCAGGAGATGGTTAAGATGGTTAAGACGCACCTTAAAGTGAGGTGAATAGGGATGAGAAGAATTGATGCCCTTGAGCTGTGATGTTGGAGAAGAGCACTGAACATTCCATGGATGGCCAAACGAACAAACAGATATGTCTTAGAAAGGGTGAAGGTGAAGCTAGAGTGCTCTTTGAAGGCAAGGATGATGAGGCTTTACCTCACACATACTTTGGGGATGTTGCTAGGTGAGGCTATTCCTTGGAGAGGGACACGATTCTTGGAAGGGTGGACGATTGGCAGAGGAAAGTCAGACCCTTGACCACATGGATGGAGTGACTGTAACAGTGGGCCCTAGTGTGTCAGGAAGTGTGAAGATGGCAGAGGATAGGACAGGGTTAAGGTCTGTTGATTATAGGTTCTCTATGAGTTGTACTTGACTCAGTGTCACCTAACAACAATAGGGAGCTCCGATGGCCTCGTGGTAAGAAATTGCACTGCAATCCCAAATACACATGGTTCGAATCCACCAGCGCCTCTGCAGGAGAAGGATGGGAAATCTCTACCCATGTGATTTGCTGCCTCTGAAAATCTGCTGCAGGATCAGTTATGAGTCAGTTCTGACACAATTGCAATATGTAAATGCTTACCTTTATATTTTGAGTAAAATGTAGAACATTTCTTTGTCAAGTTATTTATCTCACAATATACCCAGTCTCTCTTGAAAACATGTTTATATGATGGTGCCTGACTTTTTAATTCATAACCAATCCTTTGTTGATGATAAACAAAAGCAAACGTCTTTATTCTTCTGCTTTATAATACAGAGTGAAGTACAGAACCTGTGGAGAGAAAATCTGATTATCCTGGATGCTGCAAAAAAATACGGCTATGAGGTGGTTGATACTTTCACTATAACGATGGGACGATACAAAGAGTTTCTGCAGGGGAAGTGTGGATGTCATTTCCATGAGGTATTTGCTCAGGCTTTCTGGGGTTTGTAGCTTTTACCTTCTTTAAGTTTCTCCCCATGTTTTTAATTATGCTGTAGGCCTGATTTTTGCATGAGAAAGATGCTCTGACGGACGAGAGTAAATGATGTGTTCATCATCACAGTTGCATTGTTGGTCGCCTTCTAGTTGGCTCAGCCTCAAAGAGGCCGTATGGTTAATGGAATGAAATGTTTCAAGTCCTGCCCTCTCTACATGACTCTTGGGTTTAGGCCATTATTGGGGCTTCTGAATCCATCCCTCTCTCCTTCGCTTTACCAAATATGACACCTTCTTTCTGGTGATTGGTCCTTCAGAGTAAGTGAGTTCAAGTTCTGCTGTCGTCACTTCTTTTAATAAATATTTTCGTTTCATTTACAAATTCAAGTACATTGTTTTTCACATCAGATCCTTCTCATTTCCCTCACCCCCTCATCAAATTGTATGACCCCAGGATTAATCTGTCCCACCCCCGATATCCTCACCCATCTGCTTCCACCCTTCTCCCACCCTTGGTCCCCATACTCATTCTACAATAATGGTCATTGTTGTCACTTGTAAGGAATGATCCAAGAACAAAGATCTGGTGATGTCCTTCCAAAATTTAGCCAGTGAAAAACTTTGTGACATCATGAAAATAGTGAATACAAAATGAGTGCTTGAAAAATCTCTGTGCTTTTGCCCGCTGTATTGAGTTGACTCTAACTCATTGTGATCCTTTATTTAGTTTCTGAGGGTGTAAATCTTAATGGGAGGAGATTGTCAGTGTTCTCTCTCAGAGCTTCTGGTGCTTTCAACCAAGTGGAGACCTTTTGGTTAACAAGGCAACGAGCTACTTAGTTCCAGCTCTTGAGTCTGAGGCAAGCGTGAGCTACCTGGTGGAAGGATACTACCTCAGATTCCAGAGGAAAGGGAGCTCTGGAGGCTCAGTGGTGAGGAATTGCACTGACAAGACAAAGGCATGTGGTTTGGATCCACTAGTCCCTCCATGGGAGGAAGATGGGCAGTCTCCTCCTGTGCGATTCACTCTCTCTGAAAACTCCCTGGAGGTTCAGCTCTGAGTTGGTTCTGACTTGACGATACATAACACCAACCACCAGAGCTGGAACCCGGGGAGGAGGACAAAGCGGACTTCTTTCCTATGACTTCTTGCTTTCCTACTCTTCTTTACCTCTTTCTAGACTGGATTAAGGTAGGAAAAATCCTACAGAAAAGAAAAGTCCAACTTAACTGGCAGAGGTGTAATCTAGAGATGTGTTGTTTGGGTGTGAAACCCTAATTCTTTTTTGGGGAGGGGGTTTCTTCCTTGGAGGTATCCCACTTGAGCCCGCAAGTTACACTTCCCTTTCCAGAGCCAATGTCTTTCTTATGACTGGTTTTCTTCCTTGGCCAGTTGGCATCCAACTGCCCAGGCCTCTGTTGGAAGGTCCATTGTCAAGGCACCTTCATAGCTTTAGGCTTGTTATAATCAGTTGCCAACACTGGTTCACACATACAAAAAGCAAAACAAACAGCAACAACAAAACCTCCACAAAACCCATTCGTGCCTTTTCCTCTGCCACCTGCAATTACAGGTGGCGCTCTCTCACCCCACCTGCTCCTTTTCACTCATTCCCTCCTACCCTCATTCTTTCACACACATTTTCTCTGATGTCTTACATCTTACCCATAGTCACTGAGCTTCAAACCAGCTCTTGTGCTCCTCAAACTCCAAGTGATCTGTATTCAACCCTCTAAGCTGAGCTCCAGAAGCCCCACTTTACTACACTTAAAACATGGGCCAAGCAACGCCCCAAAGGCCAGGCTGACCAAAAATCATTTGGAAAACATCTTACATAGAAATTATCAATTTTTCTTCCTTTTTACCCCCCAACTCCTGATAAGACAAGGGTTTGCAAAACAAATGATCTGAATGTTACTTTTGACTATGAGGTTATTACCTCTAGGTTTCAGGAGCTGACGTTCAAACTGAGTTGAAAAGAGTCTCGTTTTATCATCCTATCAAGTGCTTATTCATTTATTCTCTCTCACTTGGCCCCCTTTATAAACCAACATGCAGTCATTTGTGGATTTGCCAGTAAAATCACAACCAAAGTTTCCTTTGATCCTTTCTCAATTCTTTATTAACTGTTAGAATCCATCTTGGTCCCCAGGTTCTTATAAATGCATTAAAAGATTGATACTACATTGTTTCTTCTATCTGCCTCAAATGAATATATTCACGTTATCTTCTTTTAACCAATGCTACAGGCCATGGTCTTTGCCATCGCTTGCTATGCTTCAGAGAGTTGGACAATGACTAGGGATGATAGAAGAATTGATGCCTTTGAGTTGTGTGCTGGAGAAGAGTATTGAATATGCCATGGACGGCTAGGAGAAAAAAAAAAATAAGTTCATCCTGGAGGGGATAAAGTCAGGCTGCTCCTTGGAGGCAAGGATTCTGAAGCTTCGTCTGACATACTTTGGACATGTTGCAAGGAGGGACCAGTCTTTGGAGAAGGATGTCTTGCTTGGGAGGGTGGAGGGATAGCGCAGGCGAGGAAGACCCTCTATGAGGTGGACTGATTCAATGACTGGGGTAATGAGGATAGAGGTGTGTCAGAGATTGTGAGATTGGCACAGGATAGGACAGAGTTTAGGGATGTTGTCCGTAGGGTCACAATGAGTCGAAAGCAACTCCACGGCACTTAACAACATCTGCATCTCAGGGAATGAGCCCACAGGCCATCAGACAGGGCACAGTCAGTATTACATTTTAAACTTCTGTTCTAGCAACTTTAAGCTTGGTCTTAAAGTACAAATTAAGTGTTGCAGAATAGATTTTAAGCAGTACGATGCTGTATGTATTTCTTCCACAAGAAATATATTACCCCTTAGGTCTCTATCCAGTTCGTAAGGAGCCCAGACTTAGACACACAAAGATGAAAAATCTAGAAGGGAGAGAAACAATGAGCTTGCATTTGAGCCAGCTCGGGGCCACAGGTCACCACAAAAGCAAACCAAAAGCCGCCAGGCCCACAGAAAATGGGGCTTAGAAAGAAACTACCCAAATTTTTGCCTCTTTTAGGAAAGGCTGGTGATTTTTATTTATTTATTTACTTACATTTCTATTTATTTCTACGTAGCATGTCTTCAATTAGCATTTTTGGGAAAGAGTTTCTGGTTTCCTTTTTTTTAGCTTTTGTGTTCTGTATGTCCATAAAGGCGATAGCCCCTATAAGTTCCAACACAGCTCTGATTAAAAACATAAGATAAGCTCCCCACATGCCTATAAGACATGGGTTTTCTACCGCAACTTCAGCCAGTGAGCACTAATGCTCATGGAATCTTGGAACCACAAAAGACAAAACAGAACCACTTAGAAACTTCAGAATTGGTCATTGGTTTTGAATTGTTGCTGTTGTTAGGTGTTCTGTCAGTCCCAATTCAGTGACCCTGTATTCAACAGAATGAAACCCTGTGGGCTCTGATGCTGTCCTCCTATGTGCCAACTCATTGTTGAAGCCATTGTCTCAATCCTTCTCCTTAAGGTTCTTCTTCCTGATGACCAATTTCTTGACCAGGCATGGTGCCCTTCTCCAGGCACTGTTGTTGTTGTTAGGTGCCATAGAGTGGACTACCACTCACAACAATCCTATAAAACAACAGATCTGAACCTTGCCCTATCCTATACTGTCTTCATTATCTCTGATATGCTCAAGGCCATGGTCAAAGTCAGATGTCAACCCATCTCATTGAAGGTCGTCTTCTTTGTCTCTGACTTTCCACCTTTCCCAGTGTGATGGCCTTTTCCAAGGACTGTCCCTTCCTGATACCATGTCCAAAGAATGTGAGAGGAACACACGAAGTGACTGCAAACCCCATACATTAAGTCAGGCACATCTTAGTGGCATCTTTGCTTATTATTATTATTTTTTGAACTTTTTTTTTATTCACTGTTGCACATTTTCTTCCCACCCCCACATCTTTGCTTTTTAATACTTTAAAGAGGTCTTTAACAGCAGGTAGCTCCATGCAATATGTGTTTGATTTTCTAATTCCTATTTTCATGAGTGTTTATTATGAATACCAGCAACAGGAGATCCTTAAAAACTTTGATTTTTCTCCTTGTATCATATTGTTGTTTATTGGTAGAGTTGTGAGCACTTCAGGGATTTTTAATGTTGACATGTAATCCATAATTAAGGCTATTGGATTTGATCTTCAACAATAAGATTTTGATTACAAACTAAATTTTTCATTTGCGTAATAATGATTTAAACATGTAAGATTAAAAATATCCCTTAGAAGATATAAAAAACAATGACTGGTAGGGTTTTTTGTGCCATTACTGTGTGCAATTTACTTTTTCTTAATCTATGTCATCTTGATGGCAAGCTCTCACAAAGATCTCAGCTGAGTCTGCAGCAGTTGAATCCATTTTAGCATTTTCCTATTGAGTTGAAATTTGTTTCTTAGAGTACTTGCCTTCTCAGTTACAACAAAAAGAGCTCTAGTCATGCAGTCCCCAGTGAGCTGATCTGCCAACCCAAAAACTATGCCTCTCTGGTGGTCCAGATCTACCAATCACTCTGAGGAGAAAGATGGATAGTCTCCTGTCATTTAATTCACAGCCTCAGAAACCCAATGGAGGGCCAGTTAAGAGTGGGTTGCACCCCTATTGAAATGAGACATATTGTAACACAGGGCCGACAAGATCATCTTTATCACCTGACTCCCATCCTCCCAAAGTCTGATGTGAAGTAAACACAAAGTAAGCCCATTTATCCATAATGTATTATCATTGCTTAGCTCCTGATCAGTTTGTGCCGTGCAGATGCTTAGAGACATACCTAAGGGAACTAATACCTGTGACGATCAATTGTAAATTGCTGAGTTAACATTCACACCTGACAGTGGAAACTGTGATTAGGAATAGAAACAGCTCATTCATTGCTCCCCATTGCTGTTGTTGTCATGTACTGTTGAATTGCTTGCAACTCATA